ATTAAAAAATATTTATGTAATAAATAAAATTTTAACATTATAAGTTAAAAAATAAATTATTTATTTTGATTTATAATTTTAAAAAATAATTTATTTTTTCATTTTTTTTAAGTGCAAATATATTCCTACTTTTTATTTAAAGAGTGAATTCAGAGACTCGAATCATTGGGGTGCTTTGGTACAAAGATTCATGGAAAAAGAGCTATGACTAGGGGGATTCAGCTGTCCATAATTTTGACCGAGTGAATGTTAGTTAACACCCTGATCGATCTGTTTAAAAAATGACAAACCCCCCAAATCTATCGGAAGGTATAGATTTACCTTTTAAAATAATATAGAGATAAGTTGTGTCTTTTAATTATAAATTAAAATAAATTATTTATTTTTTAACTTGTAATGGTAATTTTTTATTAAAAAATAAATTATTTATTTTGATTTATAATTTAAAAAATAATTTATTTTTATATTTTTTTATGTGTAAATCTATCTATACCTTTTTATTTGAGGAGCAATGTTAGGGGCACTTGCTTTTTGTACTCTCCGACCAACACTTCCCCTTTCATTGGTCCACGTAAGCTTCTTTTAAGCTTTCAGCGCAACCTCTCTGAAACCAAAATAACGTAGCCCAATGAAAGAGAAAGTGTTGGCCGGAGAGTGCAGAAAGTAAGTGCCCCTAGCATTGCTCTTTATTTGAGAAGTGAATTTGAGGGTTATACTTCTAAAATAATGCTTCAAAGTATCATTAATATATGGTTAAGTATTAATTTTAAGATTTTACATCATTTTTACATTTAATTTTTTATAGATTTTTTTATCTCTTAATTCTAAAAAGATATATATTTTATTTTTTATCAATTAATTTATTAAATTTATGTAAATATATATATTTTTAACCTCTTAATTTATAATATATACATATTTTTTATTTTTTAACTTTTAGTTAAGAATTAAAAGATATATATTTAAATAAATTTAATTAATTAATTAATTAAAAAAATTTAAAAATAAAATTTTCATAATTAAAGAATTAAAAAATACATAAAAATAAAAAAATAAAAAATATATAGGATCGAAATTCCCATTTAACCTTCATACATTTAATTCTGTCGGCCCAATCAATTTGTGAGTCCACCCTTCAAGGTTCAAGTCACCGGTACGGGTAACGTGTTCATATACATCTTGGTCCCCACGCAATTGTATCATCCGCATTGCGAAAGAAGAAACGTCTGCTGTATGACTACGATACCATGTCAGTGATATTTTGGGACAATTAAAAACCATCGCCTCAATTATGCATTCCTTCGTGTGGCTGCAGTTGCAGCCACGTTTATCTAAACTGAAAAACAAGTGAAATGAATTTTTGTCTGTAAATTGAATTTAAAAATTAATTTTTTTAAAATAAATATTAATTTAATATTATATTTATCATGTAAAAAAAAACCATCGCATTAATTTGTACCATATTTTATCAATTAAGTAATTAATAAAGTGTAAGAAAAGCACCTATACCTTACCGTTTAATTGTTATAGATCGATTTATAAGATATATTTTTTGATTTAAAAATTTAAATTTAAATTTTTTATCTTTAATTTATAATCTTGTTTTTTTTAACATAATTTATAATCTTGTTTAAAATTAAAAAAGAAAAAAAGTGTAAGAAAGAGGCTAATATGATTTTTTTTGTTGATCGAAAATACCGCTGACTCGGTATCTTTTAGATACAAAAGTTAACAGACATTCTCTCCTGGGAGGGGACCGTGCGTTTTTAAGAGAGACCAGCTGACAAGTGGACTGCCGAAGGGTGCGACCAGCCATTAGCCTTTCATCATTTTTAATATATGTATATTTTTTATTTTTTAATTTTAAATTAAAAAATTAAAAATATGCAAATCTTGCAATAGAACGCGAAGCATCTATTCGAATATTTGTTTTTACCGCATCATCTATAACCTGTGTCGATTGACTAACTGCATCATCTATAACTTCTTTCGATTGACTAATTGCCAGTTGATCAATGAGAAACTCAGTCATATATTGCTCTGCTGAAATGTTCACTGATAAGAGTGCCAGTGCCGTGTAAAAAATTCCATCAATTGGAGACTGATGAAACAGTAGTATCAGCAAGCCCTGACACAAGAACGGCAAGAATGGTGAACATTTTACAATGACATATGCATGTTGAAACACTTCTTATCGAAACCAAAATTTTAGGAAGTTCCAATTATATATATATGTAATCTATTTTCAAATTTAGAAAAAATATTTAAGATTCAAATAAAAAGTTTTAAAAAAAATAAGATATAATTCAAGTAAAATAAATTTATGTCAATTAAATAATTAAGAATTATGGTTCTTAAATATTTTTTCATTTATTAAGCTCAAAAAAGATCTTTATTATCTATATAAACAACTTTAAATTTACAATTGTTTTAGTTATTTTTTTTTAATATTCTATATAAAAGTTTAAAGTGTTTTCTTTTTAGCATGAAGTATGGTTTTACATTTTTATGATTGAATTAATAATCTCTTATTTTTATTAAATTAATATAAATTATAGTTTATTTTCTAAAAGAAATATTCTAGCATTTTTTTTATAATATTAGTGTTTATCAACATGATCTTAAAAAAATTCAGAAAAAAACACCTCAAAACTACATTTTTTAATAAAATCAAAATTCTCTCATTTCAACTTTAAAAATATGTCGTTTTTGTCTTTTTCAATTCAAATTTATTAAAACGATTTAATTTTGTAATATTTTTTCTCATAATTTATTAAAGATTTAGTCAACAAAC